AAGAAATAAAACTAAGTCCCCGAGTTCTAATTTCATCTCAAATAAATGTGACCACAATTCTCCTCTGCTACTGTCTGCTGCTCCACGAGTGCAGGAAGAACCCAAAGCTGTCCTCTGCATCCTTGACTTGAGAATCTGGTGGAGAGAGAGGGACGAGTCCGTTTGCAGCTGCAACTTCCATGCGCTTTGGCAGGGATCCAAGGCCCGCTGGCACACGGCTCGGAGGGAGCATTATCAGCAACATGGGCAATTATGCAGCTTGGAGCTCCGAAGACACGCTATCCAAAGGCTGCCAATGGCATTCTATCAAGGCATCATAGAGTTCTTCACTCTGCTCCATAAACTGCTTGTTGGCTTCACTCACATCCGTCTGGGGCATCGGATCTGCCAACGGAAGGAAGCCTACATGAGTGAATTTTGGAAGACATTTGTGTGAGTGCTGAAACGCAGAATTCTTTGTGGTTTGGACCATTGTATCTTGATTTAATAAGCTCCAATATCAACCAGAATTTTACCTACACAGGCAACCTCTTTGAACAATCGACAATTAAACCAGAACCCCAAACACTGGTTCAATGTTTTCTCCAAAGTGGATGAAATTAAAAAATGGAGGTTTAAGAAAGATTTCACTGAACAAAGAGACTGTTCATGTAAATAAAATGCCTGATCATACAGCAACTGTATGATAGTTGTCAAAACTGGGCAGTTCTCCATGCATTCATCTCAAACACTTTCTTAGAAAATGATGGAGAGCTTTTTAATCCGTTTGAGAGAACAAAAATCTATAAAACTTTGTTTCTCAAACCTTTTGGAACATAGTCTTAGGAGAGTTACATACATATAGCAATAGCACAGACTTATATACCGCCTCACAGTGCTTTACAGCCCTCTTTAAATGGTTTACAGAATCACCGTATTTTCCTCAACAACCTGCGTCCTCGTTTTGCCGACCTCGGAAAGATGGAAGGATAAGTCAACCTTGAGCGGTTCAGGATCAAACTCCTGAGAGCAGGCAGAGTTAACAAGCAACACTTCATCCTAATCACTCCGTCACCATGCAGGGATGACATAGCATATAAAAAACATGCTTTTGACCAAATTATATGTAAAGAAACTGTGGTTTTCTTCCCATTACCAGCCCTATATTTGTAAATGCAAATATTTGCTTGGATTAGCAAATATATTTAATTATAATACATCTAGAGTATTCAATGTTTCAATCTTTCCTAAAGCTTTCTGCTAGCCCAGAACTGATTTGGTTTGAACTGGCAAATTAGAAAAAGAAACGTAATTTCTATTTCTAAGAAGGAATTATAATAGCCAGCCTTACCTTCTAATGCATCTTCACCCACTTCTTCATATGTCTGCAATAGTGAGAATTACAAATTATAAAGGAATCAAAAATTGTTTATTTAGAAGCATTTAACACAAAGATTTACAAGACTTACATAACATAAGGACTGGAGTTTTGATAACGCCTATAAATCTTTACTCTCACCTGCATGGTGTTCTGTGTGTAGCAATATTGTGGGTAGCTGTAGCTGTAACTGCCGGTGTTTTGATCATATCCCCAATGGGCATAGTAGTTCTGATATTGTTGGTAGTACTGGCTATAGTTATAGTTGTACATCTGATTGTACTCCACCATCTTCAACCGATTACTTGGAAAAGAAACAAGAGTTAGGAAGGAAGAGAAAGTCAGTGACAAGAACTCTAAAATTTCTGAACAAAATTTAATCTATGACAAAAATCCTAAAATTATACTCATTTAGTTCCAAGGCCGTCAGTTATATATATACTACTAAAAGTCTCTGTTTGTGTCACCTTCAACTGGGTAAAATGGTGCATTGTAAGGCAAACGATTTATTGAATCAAGGTACCTCAAATGGGCTAGCGTAAGGTTTATATCCAAAATCTGGGATTCATGACTTCAAAGGAAAGAAAATTTTAAGGATCTTCAGACCAATTGTGTTGGTAAAGTTGTGCTCCTTACCAGCTTCTCACAAGCAAAGTCAGTGGGGAAGCTGGTAGGAAGTCAGAACTTGCTCCCATTGCTTTTTTTGTCCACCTGTGGTCGTTCTGTTTATATGTTTAGGGAGGGAAATATTACTGAAACAATGATTCAATGCGTCACGTTATATAGTGAATCATAACTGTATTCTGCTGAGTAGTGTTTGTGGCAGCTTTATTCACTGTGTGTCATTGTATTAGGAATAAGGAAACTGTGTTACTCCACACGGACTGAATTATAGCTCGCAGCATATTCTGCATTAGACCAGGTTGGCTGGCATTGCTTGGGAGTTTGGTAACACCTGGAGGCCCACAAGTTACCTGAATTTCTACTTTCAGTCAAGCTTATAGGGTGCCTCTCCAAGGAATCCACCCTTAAATTAATGTACTTAATCTGAATCATTTTAGGAAGTAATCATGGCTTCCAACATAAGGGCACAATATGCCAGTGTATGACCCAAACAAGTGGAACTGCTGGATTAAGCACATCTTCCGTCTATACTTACGCTTTTGGTATGGCAACGCTCAAGCGTATTGGCTTAGAACCAAGGCCGACAGCTCCCTGGCACTCTACCAGTGCTCTTTTTTGCTCCAGTTCATCTGAGAATTTCACAAAACCATAGCCTCTGTAAAAACACAGAACAAGCAACAGGAAGGTAAGAGAGAAGGCCAGCTTGCACGATGTCTATGGAGATTCTCAATCACGCAGATCATGGGTAGCATGCACCTTCTAAGAAGCTCTAGCAGAACTTTCTGAAGCGCTGTTGATTTGTTTGCCACCTCATTTAACTGAACCATGCTCCCCCCAAAAATGTGGTGCTTAATTTAGTATGTTTCATTCATTAAGAGCATAAAGGGGAATATACACTCCCATGAGACCAGGGAAGGTCCCCAGAGATTTTCAAAACATGTTTTCAACTTATTCTTGCTATAACAGAGAGGGGAAATTACTAAATGTCTGTTTAAGGAATCATATTTATTACATTAAAATTTAATGACATTTACAATGTTGTTTTGTCTTGACTTTTCCTAGTACTTCTCAGAATGTGTTTTTTTTTATTTATTTAGTCTTGAACTATAACAACAGTAGTTTTTCATCACTACAAATTTTCAGGATTACTGTCTTCTAGAAGGCTTAACTTTATTTTATAAAGGCTGACGAGATTCCCTCTATGAGAAATGGGCATGCAAGAGTTCTGTTAGTCTAAACCAGAGGTGTGGAGCATGGCTGGCTCAGGAATTCTGGGAGTTGAAGTCCACAAGTCATAAAAAGCCTTCTTCCATTGCAAAACAGGCGCAAATAAAGCAAAGCACATTTTTGAAAAACTTACTTGGAAACACCCGTCTGATCCACGACCACTTTTCCACCCCGACATGATGGGTATACTTTTACAAAAAATTCATATATCATCCCGTCATCTACATCAGGGGAAAGATCCCCAACGAACAGGGAATATTCTGGGCTGTGGGGAAAAAATAAGAGAAAGAATAGGAACTGTCCAAAGGCAGCTGTCAACAAAACTCAAAATTAACATCTGTGAATTATTTTTAGATCAGCCAGGAATGTTCAAATAGGGTGTGTGTGTGCGCAATGGGCTGTATTGAATTAAAAACCAGTGGTGGCATTTTTGCAGAATGATTACAGAGGTTCGATATATCCCAGCCCTAAAATGGCAGCTGTGAGGTATATAACCAGTCAAAAAACTGAGAAAGCTTTAATATTCAATCATATTTAATAACCACACCATCTAGGTTTGTTATAGCCACCTCTCTTCAAAACCTGCTTGGAGACATTCTTGGAAATAAAGGTGATGCTGGAGGCCAGTTTGTTTTGCTTTTCTGGAGGTTAGGTCCTACCATCCTTTTTTTAAAGAGAATTTTATCTGGTAAGTCCAGAGTTGCTGAGTTTAGTTAAGTAGGAGATAAATGCATATGGTGCCCTCTATAGTTAAGAACAGGGAACTATAGGGACAAAAAATGGATTAAAACCTATTTTAAGTCACGTGCCATAATTTTACACTTTAAATACACAGTGGGAGGTTTTGTTTCCTTCTTTTTAAAACCAATAACAGTTGTAACCTATAATTGTGTTTAGTCTAAACAAAACTTTTAAGTCCGTGTTTCTCAACCTCAACAAGTTTAACATGGGTGGACTTTAATTTCCAGAATTACCCAGCAAGTGTTTTCGCTTGCTGGAGAATTCTGGGAGTTGGAAGTCCATACATCTTAAAGTTGCTGACGTCAAGAAACACTGCTTTAAGCAACTGCTTAATTTCATTTTTCATTCTCCTGTCTCCTATAACTCCAAATACCTACCTATTCAGAAATATAAGTAAGGGAAAAGGGCTACATTTATTTAGACGCTTGGGTCAAAAATATGCTGAAAAGTTATTTTTTTAAGGCAAATACCTCCCCCAAACAAATGAATACCTTTTAGTTTTTAATGTAAGTGTAAGCTGGAACTGTCTGCATGAGGTACCAAGGAGTGCTGTACCATCTGCTCTCCTGTGATAAGCAGAACTCCAACCATCTTTCATTGATATGCCATAAATTCCTATCTGCTTATGTTTTATTATAGAAAGTTTCACTATGTCCTCTATCTTAGTTAACCTCTGAACATTAAATAATGGTTTTAATAACAAGATGTGGAAGCTCTCTTCATGTTCCTAAGCGTTTCCCTGAACAACAGTCATTAATAATACCAGAAGAAACTATGAACAGGGCTCCAAATGCTTTTAGTTAATAGAAACAGCCTCAAAGTTTATTGCGGTTTCCGCCATCCCAACCCCACCCAAATATAGGCCATCACTTCTCAACCTTAGCAACTTTAATATAGATGGACTTCAACTCCCAGCATTCTCCAGTCAGCATTTTGCCCAGTTTGGAAAAGCCATTCAATTTCCTAGAGAAACGAAATGGCTTTGGCATAACATTCCTTTTCGATGGAACATGCATGAACTAAAGGCCCAGTTCTTTGGCATCCAGGCTGTTGGTGCTACTGAAGCTTTAATAGTTTGCAGACTTTGAAAGGTGCCACAATCCTGTTTGCTGCTTTACCCAAGAAAGTGATTGCTGAGGCTATAAGTTAATGAGTAAAATGCATCCGCAGTAACCACTGCATTGGATAATAGCAGAGTTAGCGACATGAACTGGAAAAACGTGTTGTACCACCGCCAGGGANAAAAACCAACTTTTCCATGTTCCATTTACCCATCCCATTGTCTTTGTATCTAGATGTGAATCAAATCTCAAGTGTTCTGCCTGTGGATCCACATGTTTGAGAGCTACAACCTATCCATAATCCAGTGAAAGGTTATGTACTCTGATTTTCAGATACATTATTACCTGATGGAAAAATATATATAATACAATTCAATATATGTTTACTTGGTTATTCCATTTCACAGGTATACAATTTTTTTACAGGTTATTCTTACCCGGTAAGACTTAAGTGACTTGCATACATTTCTCTTCATTTCTAAATTGGAAATAAGCCCTGCAATAAATGCACGCATTTTCCTTTCCCTGCAGAAATTTTAACTAGGTGGACATCCACTGGAGACGTTAAGGCCTGTTTGGCTTTTAGCAATTTTCCTTTAATCATCACTACAATAAACGCAGTGTAGCTGTGGGAATCGTCCTATTAACAGTACAACTTGTACAGCAACAAGCAAGAAATCTCAAGACTACCTAGAGATACTCAAAATGCCAATTTATAAAACTGGCCCAGCATTGCTCAAAGCTTCAAAATCCCCACCCTTCTCTGCACCTTATAACAGAGATAATATAAAGCAGGGGTCTCCAACCTTGGCAACTTTTAAGACTTGTGGAGCTGAAGTCTACAAGACTTAAAGTTGCCAAGGTTGGAGACCCCTGATATAAAGGACAGTATCTATGTATTCAAAACTGAGGGAAGCAACTTCTATTCTTTGAATGCAAGATCATTTATTTATTCATTATAGTTGCCCATCTCAATCCAATCCACCTGTAATCAGATACTAGGAACCTGTCAATAATTACTGCATTTAACTCATCTTCACATTCAGACTGCCTTCAAACTGCACAGCTCATGAGTGAAATGCCAGACCTCATTTGAGGGGGAATTATATTTCTCTTTTCTTTTCTTCAACTGTTACTAGCAGAGTTTTGAAGTGCAAGGAAACGCTGATGCATCCTTTCAGTGACTCCCAGTGATATTATTCCAGCTATGGAGTACACGATTAAAATTTTCTCTGCTCCCCCTAGACTCTTCATATTAAAACAGAATATCTGGTTGTTTTAACAGAAGTTGCCTCTACATGCTTCAAAATGTAGAATTTGTATCCTTTTCAGAAACTGCTAAAAGTTGGCCCAGGTTATTCCGCCTGCTCCCTCAAAGGTTTNGATCGATCGATATAGTATATTCAGTAAACATGTCTTTATCCTTTGACCACTTAGAACCTAAGAATGAAAAAGCTACAGTACAAGTGTTAGCACTTCTGCTCTAAGTTGATTCTAATTATTTTCCACAGGGAAACATGCAATCAAGCCAGCATCACTTTTTTAGTCCTCCCCAATCTGAAGAGTGGCGACTGCTAAATCTAAGAAGGCCCACTGTAAGGTCCTGCCTCACCAGCCTTTTCAAGAAACCAGAACTCTTCAAACAAACAACATTGAAGATGTGAGAACTTCGGGCCGAGAAGGCAACAACAGGCCATTCCCAGGCACCAAGATCTTGTTCCTCCAGTGTTGAGATAAAGCAGATGGCCCCAGGCACATTCTCCCCCACTCCCAACTTCCCCCAAGGTCCCAATAAGAGATCAATGGGTTAAGAGATTAATGGGACATGACACCCACCCAGCTTGGCCAAAGCAAGCACACATTTATGCTTGAAGAACAATTATGGAATGTATGTATGAGCATCTGTTTCAAGTCAGCCCAGTTCAATGCTGGATTTATCCCAGCAAAGATGTTAGGACCAACTTGTTTTTTACTTTGCCTCCTTTTTGACCATGAGATCAGTAATTGGACCTGATGGGAAAGGGATCGGGAGGGTCCGGAATGCTACTAATTTCTTTCATTCCATCTCTTCTCTCTGTATCATACAGAAACACCACCTATCTCCATGAAAAGTATAAACAGGGAACTGCAACTGTACCTTGCAGGCTTCAGCTGCTGGCCTCAAAATTCACAGAGGAGGATAATGGGCATCTTCTTCTCCAATCATCCAGCACTTCCAGACCATACCTGAAACATATAAAAAGACCCAACATATGAATAGAAAACCATTTGAGGTCACCTAAGCAAATGCAGGACACATTGCCTTTAGGATTTTAAAAATCCTAAGTGTAAATGAGGATTAGAACTCACATTTCTGGACAGTTACTATTCAATGAAAGTACTACTCAGTGAAAAAGAAAATATCTGAATGAAAACTATTCAAGGTGGCTTGTGAACATTGAGCAAGTTCCACATGGAAACCACTTCTGAACTTCGTGCATGATGTGTATGAAACTCTTGAGTTTTACGGATTAGACTAATAGATCGTTATAGAAATGGCTTGTTCGTATTATTATGAAAAAGCAAAAAGTTGTGATTTGATGTTAATGCCTTATTTTACTGCAAGAGTTGGAAGTCAATGCTTCTTTTTTCATTTTCCCCATTTCTCTTTTCCTCCCCTTTGCTTTTCTATTTACTTTTGTATTTTATAATACTTTATATAATTCAATAAAAATGTTGACTGAGCAAGATAGTTATGAAGACCTTTGAAAGGGCCACCTGAGAACCATCATGGATCTGCTATTCTGTTGCAATTATTGAGTCTTATCATTTGCACTTCCATAACTGTCTAGTTTGGCTCTGCAACCCAACAACACAGACTTCAACAGATAATTAGATCTGCAGAAAAAACAGTTGCTACCAATCTGCCTTCTATTGAGGGCTGTGAAAGTATCTACAGACCCCTCACATCCTGGACATAAATTGTTTCAACTTCTGCCCTCAAAACAACACTATAGAGCACTGCACACCAGAACAACTAGACACAAGGACAGTTTTCCACGAATGCCATCACTCTATTTAACAACTAATTCCCACAACACTGTCAAATAATTTACTAAAACTGTATTACTATTATTCTTCTCTTCCTTCCTAGTTTCTGTCTCTTCCCACTTATGACTATAACCATGTTGCTTTTATCTTTCAATTTATATTGTTTTGTTTATTACAATTTGATAGCTTAGTTGTATCTTTTTATTCTTGATGAATGTATCTTGTCTTTTTATGTACACCGAGAGCTTATGCACCAAAGACAAATTCCTTGTGTGTCCTATCACACTTGACCAATAAAGAATTCTATTCTATAAGAACACGTAAAATAATGAGGTATTCAGCCCTATAGATAGGTTAATGCTTGAGCATGTAGAAAGGTTGAGTGACATCCTCAGCTACCAATGGCTGGGAAGTCAAAGTCCTTCCCATCTCATTCTTGCATGTTGTTGGAGATCTTATGGCCACTGTCTAAGCCACAACTCTTGGTTTAACATGCCAATCCATTTTCTTGACTTAAGGAACTCGGGGATCCTCAAACTTGGTGACTTTCTAAAGCTATAAATGAATTTATGCAAATCACACCCCTCTTATGAATACTGTAAAGCAAATGATTTCACTGGGGTGGCGCTAGCTATTCTGGTGCAGTAGCTAAGGTGCTGAGCAGAAAACCAGGAGACAGCGAATTGTAGTCGTTCTTTAGGCATGAAAGCCAAATAGATGATTTTGGGGGCCAACCTGCCTCCCAAGGTTGATTTTGTGGGGGGGAAGATTTATGTCTGGAATTGCAGAAAATAAAGACGGGGTTGAACTGCACAGAATAAACATGGGCTATGAACCTAATGCATTTTTATTAAACTCTGCCTATCCTGTAAAAAAGAAAAAAACCATTACCACTCCACCACTCCCGTTTGAAATCTCCTGAATTAACCAAGAAGAGGCATATAGACCAGTGTTTCTCACTATTTTCAGATGGGTGGACTTCAATTCCCAGAATTCATACTGGCGGGGGGTGGATGGAGAGAGAGAGAAGAAATTCTGGGAAATGAAGTCCGTACATCTAAAAATGGCAAAGTTGAGAAACACTAGACTTATATCAGCTATAAACCTTTGCCGAGATTAATTTGCAAGTGTCCTTACGTCAAGTTGAGACAGACATCTATAAACCACCAAGTCCAGCTCCAAAGCAGCCATCCACCTCATCTTCTTTCCTGCTGAAGGCTGATGGGAAGAAAAAGAGAATTAGACTGGAAGCCAAGCTATTACAGGACTCCAAAATTAGACACAGGTTTCCTTGGTGGCTGCCCAGTCTTTTCTTACAAACTTTCAGTGATGGAGCACTCACAACTTCTGAAGACAAGCAGTTCTATGGATTAATTGCTCTGCCAGGAAATGTGACCTTAATTCTAGGCAGGTTCTCTCCTTGATTAGTCTCCATCCATTGTTTCTTGTCTTGCCGTCTGATGCTTTGGGAAATAAGTTGATCCCCTCTTCTTTGTGGCGGTCCCCCAAATACGGGAATATAGCTACGTTGTCACCCCAGCAATTTTCACTGACATACAGATAAATTCTGAACGGATTTGTCTATGCTGCTCTGCATTCAAGCTACAAAATGCCATCACTACGAAAAACATGTATTTCCCCCAAAATGTTGCTGAAGAGTTATGGGAGAACAAACCAAACAGCGACCGTCGAAGAAAAATATTATTTTCGGCACCTTTTTGACTACATCAGTCACAGATAAGACAGACGCAGCTTCGATAGGGCCATGGGAAAAAAACCTGTCAGCCTTGCCAGGTAAACCAGACAGGAAAGACAAGGTGAGTTAAATTTACATTACTGTAAGGCTACCTTAACAGAATAATCTGAAAATACAAAATTCCCACCACTTTTAACAACCTGATCATTTTAGGATTTGGTCTTTCCTAAATTTCTTCCTCCGATGGTTAAGCTAGGGGGGTTCCTGCCTCTTGTCTGATTGTTTCCTAAAAAACATCTCTTCCCCCTTTTCTCCAGTCACCCACACATTCCATTACAGTATTATTGAAGATTTTTTGCACCCAACTGTTATATATTCCAGCATCATACTGCAACTGCAGAAGCTTCGAAGAGCTTTTGGTCCACATCAATTCACTGCAAAACTAACAGCAACTATAACTACATCAATACTATAAGCTGCCCAGAGGCCAACTGAGTGGGCAGCTAAATTAAATTCAAATAACTAATAAATAATAATAATAATAAACAGATGTCCTCCAGTTTAAAAAGAGTGCAGGGTTTATTCTAAAAAAGCACTGCTAGTTAGGTATTCCCGTTACTGCTCATTGTCGATTTGTTTTATGCATGAATTAAAAGAGTAAACATATATTGGATGGGGAATTGTGGACGTTGAAACCATTTTAAAGTTGCTAGGTTTGAAAAAAACATGATTTAGATTAAACTTGAAAAAAGTGGGAATTGCAATCCAACACGTTTTACAGTGTGGAAAGCTGGATTTGATCTCAAGGCCCAGCTGAGACACTCAGAACCTAGCACAGTGTTTATTAACCCATGGCAATGTTAAGATAATGTGGAATTCAACTCCCAGAATTCCCCAGCCAGCATGGACTCCGTTTATGGAGATACGTACATAGCAATGCTCAAAGCTAAGTAAAGCAACCTGGTATAAATTCCCCGGAATCTGCAAAAAGATTTTTTTTAATTGCACTACTTAAACTACATCCATAACAACTTTAAGGAAGATTTTCTAGAGGGCTCTGTAAGCCTGATTAAAAAAACCCTTTTGAGGACTTTTTCTATTAAAAGGGTCTTCTGCTTGGGCGGGGGGTTGGACTAGACGACCTCCAAAGGTCCCTTCCAACTGTTAATGGCAGGATTCTGCCAATCTAAATGGACTCCCGCAGATATCGCGATGAAAGGGGGGGGGGGCGTCTGGACGACATGCGAGGAGACCTCGCCCCTAGTAAAGCCTCCCACCGCTAAAGCAACATTGACTCGGGAAAGAGGCCCCATTCCCAACCCAATTAGGGAATCTCGCGTGGGAGAGAAATTGCAAGAAAGCGCCCAGACTCGGAACCAAGCTCCGGTGTTTTCTTCCCGGGGATGGAGGGCTCTCTTGCTATGCAACCAAGCGGTTAAGGAGGCATCGCTTCGAATTAAATAGGAGGATGGCGACGGATGGAGAAGCTTCGCCCCACTGCGAAAATAGAAGCCCTACTAACCTGCCTCTCGGCCTCCGAGCACGGAAAGAACGTGGGATTCTCGGACGTCGCCTTTTATACCCCCTGTGAACGTCTAATTCGATTGGCTCCTTTCAAACAAGGAGTCCTGAAAGGGCTCTTGGGAAATGTAGTTTTTCTCCAAATCCATGCCAGAGCAGCAGGGCGCACACTTTTTAAAGAAGTTCTTATGAAAAGATTTTATTATATCAAACGAAATGAACAAAGGAGAAACGGATTGGCTTATTTTGAACAATAGATTATTAACATTGAGATTAATTCAGTTTGTCCCCAACTGGAAGGTACAAACAAAAGAACTCTTAAATATTTGACCAAATTGCTTGTTGCCTTTTTTTTTTTTTTGCAAGTGGAAAAATTAAAACTTTTAGCACACATTTCAGCCACCTCTTTCTGAAAATCAGGTACAGATTTCCTACACTGCCAATTCAATGGATTCCTGACATCCTATACATGCTGGGGACCTATTCAAAATATGTATTCCGTAGTATAGACACGTGTTTGGAGTATATCTAACTAGAGGAAATGTTAAACTTCATATGTTGCCTAAAGTTGCCATTTTGTGTTCATGAAANAAATGAGGACCCAGATTGTTGGGGGCAATATGCTGACTCTCTGTAAACCGCTTAGAGAGGGCTGAAAGCCCTATGAAGCGGTATATATGTCTACTGCTATTGCTATTGCTTCTTCACAAGCAGGTGCGCTTAGGATTTCAGACTGGCTTTTCAGATGAGCTTCTTTACTTACAGGGGTGGCACCAGGAAGGGGCTTCCCGTTGATTTTATGTAAACATTTTTCTGCTGTGGCCAGATCAGCAAATTCTACAAAGCAATAGCCTGCTGGAATCCTGGAAGGAGAGAAATAGGTCATTCATTGCCTGTGTTTGTGCCTGTCAGTGAAAAATGTTGTGGAGAATAATGCTACCAATGTTTACTAGCCACAATAGCTATATATTACCTCCGGTGTCAAGGCAGTACGCCTCTCAAATCCCAGTTGCTGGAAAACACTAGCAGGAGGGCGCTATTGCTCTCATGTCCTGCTTATGAGTTTCCCAGAGGTATCCCCTTGGCATTGTGGGAACAGAATGCTGGGCTAGATAGGCCTTTGGTCTGATCCAGCATAATTCTTCTTATGTTCTGCTTTACTGCAAAGTGAGAGATCAGGACTTGGCAATCATATCTCAAACAACGTGTCAAATTATGTTCTGCAACAGAGGCCATAGAGATGGCGACCAGGATGGCAGCTTTTCCAGTAGTGGCAACCTGTTTACAGAGTGATGTTCTCAAGACAAATTAAGGCGGCATTCATAAAGATACCAGATTGAAATTACATGCACTTGAAAAGGAATCATTGACGAGCATCTGTCTCTTGATTGATTTAACAATTTTGGGAGAAAAGTTTTGGGGACGCTCCCCTTCATAGAAAGGACTAGGAGAGGGAGCTACAATCGATCAGTGAAAGAAGACCGATCTAATGGACTGACTCTGGATAAGCATCGCATCTTGTCCCTGTGGCAAACCAGATAGGGTTCATTAACAGGGGCTCACTTTATAAGATGCCCCAAAGTCACAACATGGCTTGTTTAATCTTAGTCTAATGTGGAGTAGGAATCATAATATACCATAGCTTATGCGTCACATAGCAGTTACAATATAGTGTCTTATTCAATAAAGCATGGTTAAACTGTGGTCTACTAGCACAAGGTAAGAATTAAGACAGTATCCAAGTCGCACCATCTATAGATGGGTTGAAAATAACCTCTCCTTCTCACCAAAATATATGTACATCAATAGCCAATACATGAAAAACAAGCAATCTATTCTGAATATACACATCGACAACCAATAAAATTAAAAAAAACAATAAGCAAATAACCCCATCAGTCTATTCTGAATATACACATTAACAGCCAATAAATAAAAAACAAATCAATACCCTGTCAATCTATTCCGAATTATCTTCACACTCAGGACTAGTTGTCCCATAGTAGCAAAAGCTCTTGAAATGAAGTTCTCATCCATATAGGGCTCCAGCTAGAGAGAGAAAGAGAGGAGAAAAATAAGACAAGAATACCACAATACAGCAACAATAAGAATAATATAATTACGTGCTATTTAAGAGATGCTGCTGGACTTTCCTCGCCTGCAGGAAGCTACCTAAAGCCATTCAGGAATACACCTGTTATTAAAACAAGCTTCCTGAGATGAAGCTGCTAACTCTTTGAAGAAAGGATATAAATAAGTACAACATGGCCTTGGCAGAAGACTCTGGCCTTACAACCCCCCACCCAAAAAGCCCCCCAAAAGCACTTAAAGACCAGCCAGCAAAAGGACAAAGCAACCCTGCCAGTGGGAGCCATCAAAATCCCACCCTCTCTCCCCGTCTGGAAGCAGAATCAGGACTTTGGAGAGGGGGTCTTTAATCCCCCCTCCCAACAGAGGGGGGCCGTCCGAATGTTTTTTTGGGGGGAGGACTTCTAATTCCTTCTCAAGAGCCCCCCCCCCATCCAGCGAGGGGAAACTTCTGGCACTTCTGCACTCGGGAGGGCAGCGACCCCCCCCTTTAAGCCCCCCTCCTCAGCTTCATACTCCCCCTCCCCCAAAGAGGGTCTTCCTCGCATAGGCAGCCCCCGCGACGGCCTGCGCGGGCCCCTCTGGCGGCAGACCCTCGGCTCCCGCCCCGAGGAGAGGACTGGAGAGCGGCCACTCAGACTCCTCTGCACGGAGGGTCTTAGCCAGCCGCGCCCCCCGACCCACCCGCCACCGCCACTCACGTCTCCCATCCACAGGCTGGCGGCCATGCTGCTCTCGCCGCCCCAGGGCGCCCGGGCCGAGGGGCGGGCGACGGGGAAGCCTGCCCCGCTCGACCCCGCCGCCGCCGCTTCACCGCACTTCCGCGGCCCCCCGCCTCACTTTCTCCCTCGGCGCGAGCTTTCTCCCCCCTCCCCCTCCCGCGCGTCTCGGCAAGAGGCGGAAGGAGGCCGGAGCGGCGGCGGCGGCGCTACCTACAGCGGCCCCTGCCTGCGCGGAGGAGTCGCTGCAACGCCCCGTCCTCCGGAGGCTCAGCTCAGCTCAGCTCTGGCACTGTTCTGCCTTCGATACATTCAGATACGCAATTATTAATTTCATTTATTTCATTTATTTCATTTATTTCATTTATTTCATTTATTTCATTTATTTCATTTATTTATTATTATTTTCATTTTCATTTTATTTTATTATTTATTTTATTTATTTTATTTATTTTATTTATTTTATTTATTTTATTTATTTTATTTATTTTAT